GGGCGCCTAAATAAATCAGTAATTGTTTTCCATATTAATGTGTTATAGTTTATAACAATACATCATTACGTCTTTGTTAACTTCATGTTAGCGATACACAGCAGTTTCTCTATAGTTTGGTTTTGTTGGTATGGTGATTGCTCTAGAATTAGCACGAAAAAGGCATCCTTTGACACCCTTGCAAAATGTGCACGTTTTTGTTTTTTTTTTCGTTTTTTTTGGTGGGGGGGGGCTGAACGGTTCTATTATTGTCTTGTTCTGTATGGAACTGGGACCCACGTTGGTTTGATTTTCAGTGCAATGTTACACCTTTCAAGGTATACTCAAAGCGGCGTTTACGCAGATTTGGACTGAAATGGACATTATTTACAGCTTAACGGATTGAGTGTTATTCAGTTTTCTTCTTGGTTTAAACAGTATTTATTTTGAGGATATTATACAATATAAAGGCATAAAGAATAGGATACAAACAAGCCAGGTAGGTTTATATTAATATGCTTCCTTCTAGTTTGGGTGTATAATATATGTAGGCTTATATTAATTTGCTTTCCATATGTTTTAGGTGTATAAAATATGTAGGTTTATATTAATTTGCTTCTTTCTGTCTCGGGTGTATAATATAAGTGGGTTTATATTAATTTTACGGAGTGGAACGTTTTGTATATGTAAATAGTTTTAAAACTATCGAACTTAATACTATAAATCACTCTCTTTTCATTCAGCATTCCAAATTATGGCATATACCCTCAGTGGGTGATAATATAAAATGACGTAACTAAATTGAACTATTTAGCTACCTTGCAATCCATGAGGGCACATCAGAATATTGTACTCACTAACCATATCTATTTCCCTGTAAAGTTGTATTGATTTCCTCGATCAAACTAACTAACCATATCTATTTTCTTTAAAGTTTTCTTGATCTACGAGGTTTTAAAATTTCAAATTGTTTGTACAATCTAAAAGGGGTTCGATTGATCTAATATTGTGGCATTGGGGTTTGAGGGAGTTCCCCATCATGCGTAAAAAAATAGTGAAAATTGGTCCCCGTCAGGTGCCGGTGCCTGCACTGTGCTCTCGCAAACACATTCTTAACTATTATTTTAATGAAAAAATAATTCCACAAGTCACGTATACAATACGAAACAGTTATCCAGGAGGATCATATATACCTTATTTATAGCTGAAAAGTGTTATAAAATAATCATCTACTACATTATCACATTTCAAACCAAACACCTGATCATCACCAAGAATCGAAATCTACACAACAAACTTGGTCTCATATATTCTTTTCTCGGGTGCCTATTCCCCGCTCCCCTTGAGCCATCGGACAACATGTTACAAATTGCACTTTTTACACTTGCTGTGGATTTATTCTCGGGAAAATGGTCAGAATATATGTAAATTTTCTCCTAGTTAGTCATAGAAATTTGCTTAATATAATTGTATGAACATGGGTTAGTAAAGGATGACTTGCACCTTCAAGGTGTCCGAGCCCTACCCCAAGCAGTGAAATAAAACTGTCAACTCCATTCCATGTGCCACTGCCGTGGGGAGTGTGCATAACTACTATGATAGACTGTATATATAATCGTTTTTCCAATGGTAAATGGTGTACCTAAAAATTATAAATAACCTCCCTTGAAGGTCATATCGTGACACACATAGTGGTCTGATCCCTGCAAATTCATACTATGTTCAATCTGATTAAAATACACATCTATATTTCGTTTCGTTTTTTTATACTTTCGATGGCCTACACTACATGAAGATCTGACAAGTTATAGCGATAGGTCACGTCAGGGGTCAAAAGACCGACTTATGACAGTATGACGTCAGACATTTGATTAACCAATCAGCATTGATGTTACTAGTGGATTACCGACAATTCCGTGAAAAACACGCCTAAAAGCTCGCCGTAACAGACCGTTTCATTGGCTTATCCCTTACACCATTCAAAACACGAGTTAAATAACTCTTCCAGATCCAAGTGTAGTAAAGACAAGTAAAACGAAATTTTGAACTATAAAAACGAAACGAAATAGGATCTGTGTTTTAACCAGATTGTCCTTTCATACCAACCATTTATCGAGCAAACGAAAAAAAACATCTGATTTTAACTCAAAATGACACGTTTGACACCAGACACGTTCAGAATACGAAATAATATAGTAATGTGATACAAGTTGGTTGATTTGTGTAACTCATTTCATCACCATCTTTATGTGACTCGAAAGGTAACTTTGGGCAAATCGTGTCACTTTAAATGTTTTCAAGTTACAAACTTACAAATGAAATGAAGTGGGGGCTTCAGAATCTTAACTTTACTGTTCTGCATGAATCGGGATGAAGCGGTATATAACGGAATGTGTGACCAGGCAACGGCTTTGTCCGTCTTCTCATCACCAATTTAGTGTCAACAAAGTAAAGAAGATATGGACAACTTACAAACACAGCAACATAAGGTGAACAAAATAAACAACAAACAAAGAAATTTTAAACATAGTCTGTTTATTTTGCGATGTAGGTTATATTTTAATATCTTGTATTTGTTGGTTTCTAATCTAGTTGTTTTCAGGGAGTACATATTATAATATAATAATAGTTGGTCTCTGAACAACATAAACTAGATTGATTACAAAGAACAATATGATTCTCCACATTTAACATCTGAAAAATACAAAACATGGTTTATATATTATAAATAAACAAACCGCAACAATCCTTCTAAGTCATAAAATTGACTTACTGTGTATATAAGAAAACAAGATTCGTTGGAAAAGCAATATGTTTTACATCATAATGTTAATCAAGAAAAATTTTAATGGATTGAAACTGGTGTTTGACGATGCCATGGTGGTTAATAATCTATGTTTACCATGGAGCTTATTTATATGAAAGCCCAGAAGGCTCATTCCAAATTCCAAATGCGAATTTCCAAATTCCAAATGCGAATTTCCAAATTCCAAATGCGAATTTCCAAATTCCAAATTCATGTCTCACCGATAAAATAGCAAATTGGCAGCCCCCCTCAATTAAACAAATTAGAATTTATATAAATTGTAATTTTACACAACTAATTACTTAGTTGACCTATCTGGGCCGGATAAATACCCGTTCCAAATTACTAGCTTCCAAATTCCAAATGCGAAATTCCAAATTCCAAATGCGAAATTCCAAATTCCAAATCTGATCCGACCAATCGGATCAGGTTTTTGCTTTTGACTAATCATTTAGAGTATAATAACAATATTACAGTTGGCTATTTATTATGTCCTTAACTTCTCCAGGGGATGGTACAATCGAGTCTAAGCTATTAGCATTCATTTGGAGGAGTGGAAGAGTTTTGTTAGTACTTAACAGTTCAGTTTGTCGAATGAAATAATTATTAAGGGCATTGGCTTTGTCGGTGGGCATAAACATTGTATCATTTCCAACTGTTAGTGGTGGGGGCTCGTTTGAGGATACAGCCTGTGTCTTGGTGTATGCGTTTATTAGATTCCACCATTTTTTAGTGCCAAAATTTTCTTTATCATTTATTTTTGTGTCAATTTTCTCAAAGTATTCTTTTTTGCATTTCCTTATCAGATTTATGTAGTCATTTCTTATTTTACGAAAATTTTGCCAATCACTTTCCAAATTTCTTTTTACTGCTCTCTTATGTAATCTATTTTTTTTCTTTTTCATTCTTCTAATGCTGTTATTCATCCAAAGTTTATCGTTTTGCCTAATTGTTACTAATTTGTTAGGTATATTATTTTTTGCTATTTTGATCAATTTGCTAGTAAATTGGACACATGATGTATCAATATCAGAGCGATCAACAAGATTGTACCAATTGGTTTTTATTGTTTTTGTGCGTATACCCTCAAGGTTTGTGTTTTCGTAATTCCATATCATTCGTTTGAAGCATTTTTGTTTAGGAACAGTAAAAGAGAGCTTACAAAAGACTGGGCGTACCGGTTTTGCTATAATGGGTTGATTTATTTATTAACTGAGTCAGGTCTAATAAGTTGTTTGCATCGTGGATAAAGCTAGTCGTTTTCCTATGCAAGTCAATATTAAAATCTCTTAAAATTATGCACTTATCAATCGGATCAGTAATAGCTTGTTGAAAAGAATTAAAAATCTGTTGATTGATATTCGATGTTGAGGAGGGTGGTCTGTAGTAGGTACCAAGCAGAAACTTGTTATGATTAGAGTTAATTTCTATCCAAATAGATTCAATGGATTCATTTTCTAAGTCATTTCTACGTTTGAATGATATGGAATTACGAACATAAATAATCACCCCACCCCCGCGGTTATTTCTATCTTTCCTGACCGGCAGATAGTAGTTAGGTAAAGCTATAGACTCAGATGTGATGTTTTTGTCAAGCCATGTTTCACTTAATGTTATTATATCATAGCTAGTTAATTCTGCAGTTATTAAATCAAGTTTATTTTTAAGACTCCTTACATTCAAATGCACTACTGAGAGTCGGTTATTGTTTTGTGTATTTGGGCCTGGGTTGGGTTCGATATTTCCTGAGAGTAGTAAGAGAGAACGGGTTAGTAGTGGTGACAGACAAACTGCGGCGATAGTAAAGATAATGCAACTGCGTAAGCAAGCGAGCGATAGTCTCCGGTTGTTGGCCTTAAAATTTGACAAGATTATATATATTTTTGGGAAGTCTTTGCATATTGCAATTGTCTTTGGCTTAGCCGAAATGAATAATGGATAATTAAAATCGTGAAAAATCGTGAGGGATGTTGTACTTAGTGAAGACTTATGCCTATATAAAAGGTAGTGTTTATCAATTTGAACATATATACACAAGGGTGGTAACATTAAAATTAATTCAACATATGTACACAGATATTTACAAGACTGCGAGACAATCAGTTGGCCGGAGATTGTTCGCTTGGTATGGCCCGCGAGGAGAGAGAGCTAAGCGATATCTTTGATGTTTTAGCGCCTGGATAATCGTGAGCGTTAATAGTCACGTGATGTTATACACGCGTTGAATGGATCTGGTGTCACCAGTGCTGGTGTTGTTTTTACTGGTGAACGTTGTTTGTGAGCAGTTAACGGGTGGGAGATATTCATATGTACCGTTGCAGGTGAGTATTGTTAGCCTATCTATGTTTCTATTAAGTTTAATGTATAGATTTAGTATAAATTGTTCATTATTTTATATAAAGCATGTAGTTTGAAAGAACCATGAGGCCTGTAAGTAACCCACCCACGCAGTAGGCATGGCTATTCCGACTTAGGTTTTAATAGGCAATTTGGGTAGGGAATTTAGGCCGTACTGTTTAGCAAGTGATTTTATTTGTTTTAGCACGAAGTATGTTCATTATAAACTAGAGGTATTGTGGGGGGTAATACGCTGGTGGTTGTAAGTTTGTGGTTGTTATATGTTTGAGGTTGTAATTATATTTCTAATTAGGGTTTCACACTGCGTAGCCAGTGTGAAACACTATTGTTTTTGTTCGGATTATTATTATTATTATTTTTCCATTTGAGCATATCTCAGAAACTACTTGTCGGATCGATTCGATGTTTTCGGTTTTACTGGGAAAGTGGCTTTGACTTAAATTTTAAAGCTATTTCCAACGTTCTGCGACGATGCGAAATGTCCGAAATCACCGAAGTTGTCGTTTTTCGATATTTTGCCGTAATATTATCAATAATTGTCGGATTGTATTATTTGATACATTTTGACATAGCCAGAGACAAGGCACATAGCTTTCGTTCTTTGAATTTTTTTATTTTCGACGAATCTTCGGAGATATTAGGCGCCAAATTTTGAAAATTTAAATTTTTACGAAAAACTTTTTTATTAATGAATATTTTTATGTGGTATTTTACCAAGGGTTAAAGGGTCATCTGATTTGATAAAAAATGTCAACATTTGTTTTCACCGTATTTTTCCTTGGCCCCCATTGGCTAATTCAGTTTTTCAGTCCTGGATTAATTATTTATTGTTCGATTTGTATAAAACAAAGTTCATATGTTCCGCGGTCCAAAATGTCATTTTTTTTTGTTACCGGTACATTTTCCTTTCGGCAACGGAAGTAACATAAATTTAGCAAAAACTGCAATTTTGAGAGTTCGGTACCACTTTTTGAAAGCAAATATTATTTTTTTCAAATCTGGTATGACTGAAAGGGTTTGCCCTGTTAATGTGCAGAAATCATCGCGCTCAGTTTTTTTAATTTTTATTTCGTTTTCGGATCATTTCGATTTAAAGGTGAAAAAATGAGCTATTCACAACCCATTCAGGCTTTTCATATTTTAAAATATTTCTTCGCAACTTTCATAAACTAGTAGCAATAATCCATACGAAGAGAATGTATGTGAAAATTAATTTGTAACATGAACAGTTGCCGAGAAATGGGCAATTTTATTTGAGTCACTTTTTACGCTAGTTTGCCAGTATAAGAGTCAATTATTATTCGATTTTCATAAAAGTGACACCATTTGATGCGTAATGTCAATTTTAACCAGGTCAAACCAATTTAACATTTTCAATGTCACCGGAAATGACGTAATTTGGGCAAAAATTGTATTTATAACCTTCAAAACAAATAATTTATTCAAATGAGTCGTATTTGTTGTTTGTTTAAGATTTTGATATTTGATTCCAATCAACTAATAGAATGAACCCAAACGATCATATAGATATCACAAAATGGTTTCTAACTTGTTCAGTTGCGGAGAAATAGACGATTTTCAACAGGTAACTTTTCAAGGTTTTTGGTCCATAAAAGTGTTATTATTCGATTTTCATAAAATTCCCCGTGTGTGATACCTAATGCCATTTAAGATTTCATACAAGTAATTTAACACTTTTACTGTTACCGGAAGTAATGTCATTGTGACAAAAACTGTATTTTTAGCCTTCAAAACAGATATTTTATTTTATTTTATTTTATTCAAATGAGTCTGATTTGTATTTTTTTATATACAATTATGATATTTGATTCCAATTAACAAATAGATTGAACTCACATGATCATACAAATACCAAAAAATGGTTTCTAACATGTACGGTTGCAGAGAAATAGACGATTTTCTACAAGTCACTTTTCAAGGATTTTGGCAAATATTATTCGATTTACATAAAATTTTCACCATGTGATGCCTTATGCTATTTCTGATTTCATGAAACTAATTTAACATTTTCATTATCACCGGAAGTAATGTAATGTTGTCAGGATCACTTACATGTAATGAATGTATACAATGAATTGATATTGCCGGATTTGGTTGATTCTGCGTACATTTTAAGTGATGTGTGCAATGCTTAAATGGAAACCTGTTTAATGGTTTCATCGGTACCGGAAGTGACATATGTTCAAGGGTAACTTTGTTTTTATTTATAATATAATGGTTTATTTTAGGGCACTATCATGATGGTTTGGTCTCCTAGATCAAGTTGGTAGATATGTGAGTAGAAGAAAAGATGATGAAAATCCGGTGGCATGTAGGTGGTGAACTAATGACTTCTTAGTGGTTAACTGTCTTGGATTAGTGTACTTCAATGAATGTGTCCATACAGTGAAGGCTACTTACTAGGGGCCATTTATAACAATTTATATTACATTATAATTAGCACATAACATTTTTTTTTTAGTAGGATGGTAAATTAGGTTAACATTATCCAATGCATGTTTTAGTCCTAAGCTTAGTTTGCATTCCGATTCATTCAGTAGAAATATATATGTTTCAGTTAAAGTTCAAGAGGTCTATTTGAGATGTTTTGTTACTGTGCAACATGTCCGTCTATTACGATAAGCTTTTATACATATGGATTACACCGCTTTTACTTCTAAGCAGATGTTAAGACAGAGAACAAGTAATACAGTGCAGTTACAAATATACATACATACAGCTTATAAGTACAAAATACATTTATGGATTCATAATGCTGATAATAACAGTTTCTATGGTATCAAGTGATTAAAGCATACAATTATAAGGAGCTATTGTAATTAGTGGCTGCTGATTGGGTTGGCATAATAATTATTACTAGTACATGTATATTAACATTATGCCTGTTATGAAAATAATACTATGGCAGATTGTACAAGAGAATCATATTGCATTCTTAAGATCATATAGTTTAAATTAATTTCAGGTATAACATGCTTCGGATAGATTTGTTTTGATTGAAGATGCGTAGACGATGGAGTTAGAACAATTGTGGACACCTTACCTGGAGACAAGTTTGGTGATGTACGTATGTTGCTCATTTTTAGGATATGTGAATTTGCCAATTCCATTTAATAGCTTGCATTAGTTGTTGGAAATGAAAAGAAATGGGATTTAACGTCCTGCTCCGAACTGGGCCAATGGGTGCTATGAGGGAAATTTGCCCGGTCAGCGGCACTACGGCCTATTCTTATATGGAATTCCAACTGTCGAGGATCTTGGACCAAGGTTTTTCGTCCCATCCGCACAAACTAGTCAGCTGGCCTCGCAAGGCCCTCCATTCTGCACCACTGACAAGGGGGGACCAAGCCGGGAGCATTAGTTGTTGGGCTGTTGGATTTGATCACATGGTAGTAAGGTGGATAAGGTTACAATCACCACAATTAATGGCTTAAATAACTAAAGATTATTATGGCTTAATTTAATTAACGATACTTAGAGGATTTACCACAAAAGGAAGGTGTTGATTTGAAATGGATGATCTTATTAGGTCAAGCGAGTACTTGAATAGAGCATCATACAATGAAGCCACATTTCGTTCATTAATTCATACAGATTAAATTGGTTTTAGTAAATCGAGATTTGAGTATAACATAGTATCTTTGATTATAGGGTTGAAGATGATGGTGTAGAAGACAATGCAGACACCTTATTGACAGACTGTTTAGATAAGTTATGTTGTTCTTCTTTTGGATAAATCATGATTCATACTTAGTGGCCTTGATTCGAATGTGCAAGATTGCAAATTCCTATAAGAAGCTTACAATAGCTGTTGTGCTGATGGATGTGAGCAGATACTAGTAAAGTGAATCACAATTAATATGCTTTAACGTTAACTAAGGACTATTATGGCTTGATTAAGTAACAATACTTAAAGATTTTACAATAATAGAATAGTACAAAATGTGTTTCATAACAGGAAATCTGATTTAACCAAGGTACATGTGTACATAAAATAACAGTGTGCATATTATACAAGGGAGTCATAGTTCATTCATAAAATGTGTTTCAGATAAGACATGGTTTAAGCATAGTAGCACTAGCTTAGATTGGGGCTGAGAACAAAAGAAAAGGGACTATTAATGGACTCCTAATGAATACTTAGAGATAAGATTGGTAAGTAATGATGCTTGACCTTGCGATATGCGTAGGTTCTGGTTCCTTTTGAAAGCTTGCATTAGCTGTTGTGCTCTAATTTTGATCGGGTGCTAGTGGGTATGTGTTACAACCATTCAGCCATCACAAATAATTTATTAATTTGTAGATAACTATGACCTGATTAATTGATGATACTTAAGAGGTTTTACCATAATAGCAGGGTCTATTGTGATTTAAAATTGTCCTGGTTTTGATTGAATTATTTTCCTTAGTAATAGTATAAATCAATTGCATGATTGATTAATAGTGTTTGGGATGGACCGAAATATTTTAGTCTGTGAGTTTATCTAATCAGACAGCCAATTATTAATAATTTACTTGGGACTGGCCATTTCATACCAGTTAACAGTAGCATGTAGTATAAATGATATAAAGTAAGTTAGTATTGATAGTAATAGTAATAATAATAATTTTGTATCTTATAGGGAACTTGATGATGGATCACAATAATAATTAAACATTAATTGGTATTGATAGTAATAGTAATAATAATAATTTTGTATCTTATAGGGAACTTGATGATGGATCACAATATTAATTAAACATCTGTTGATTCCGGTTCACTTTGGATATTTTGACTCAAGTTGAAGTGGAGTAGTTCCTCTGCCGATGGCTTATATCCAGGAATTTGGACTATACTGTGTATACGTTTTATAGAACCATCTGTTCCATCAGGTTTTCTTTCGTGAATAAAGATTTTGCCATCACGCGTCCAACATCCATTGATTAAGTTTGATTTGAATGATTTTCTAGTGTGTTTAAAGATATGAGCTCTGTACCGTGTTAAGTCCTCATTTATATAGATGTTGTCTTCTGCTGAGTTTACGACTTTCTTGCCACGCATTATGGATACTTTAGTTTTATAGCTAGATAGTCTAACGATAATCTTTTTGGGGTTACCCATGATAGGTTTACCTACTCTGTGACTATTTTCTATGGCAGTCGGTGTTATGGCTGGGATGATTTTTTTAAGGACTTCGATTACTTTATTTTCGACTATTTCGTTGGGCGTTTCAGCTTTACCACTAATACGGATGCAGTTTCGCCTACCATATTGCTCTAGGTCATCACATCGTTCATTTAACATGCCATTTAACTGCAGCGTAACAGACGAGATTTCGTATTTGAGGTCATTTATTTCCTTTCTTAAGGGAGTAATATATTTATCAATCTCTTCTCTTAGAATGGGTGTTATCAAAGGTCGAATGGCATTCTGTACCTCTGGTTTCCCAAATGCTCTAGATAATTCCTGGGTAACAGCATTTAGAGTGTTGATAAATGCCTCATCAGGGACAGGAGTGGATGACAGAGGGATATAGTTTTCAGGCTTGTCATTTATTGGGGATTCCGCGTCGCTCATAGTGTTTTCTAAGTACTCGTAGCTGGAGTTGGGTTCAATATTTTCAGACATGAAGGTGGTAATTGTGCTCTGCTGGAGTTTACTTTTTTTTAAATTACTACTTCTGACACCAGTAGCCAAGAAAAGGTCTGTTTGTATTTGAAATGGGGACGTTGAACCCTTTCTTTTCCTGTCTTCTTTAGCCCTGGCTGGAGTATACATTAAGTTTTGAGTGTATATTGGTAGTAATGATTTAATAATAATAATAAATAATATGATACCACTGATAAGGATGTTGATTTTCTGTAGGGTCTGGCTGTTGAACGTTCGTGAGTCAAAGAAATCACAAAGGTAACAAAGATGGCTGCTCACAAAGCAAGTTTTCACAGTGGTTGGAGATTTTAACTCAGAGGTCCTTTTAATACAGCATGAGTTAATACTTTATATATAGTGTTTACTCCAGGCACATCAGGATGTATGGATATTATCACATACCTTAGTTATTATGTGTTATTTAGTCGCTTTTCACTAATTATTGAAGCTCTCTAAGAGGAGTCTAACTACTGGCGGCCATCTTGTTAAAATTCTGATGGATAACACCTGTCATTATTTATACAGGGGTTGGATATATTACAGGGATTTACTAAAGTTAAATTTAAGAAATGTGGATCTCAGATACGTTAATAATCATTATATAAGACAGCGAGTGATCATAATTCCAATTGTTAAGTATGGCATAATGAAATATGGATATTTCTTAACGAGGTAGACATTGCCAGGGATTTAAGTAAAATAATGATTGCAACAAGTACTGGTGAGGATATAAGACCCATTGAGATTTATAAATACGCGCATGATAGATTAACTCCTCTAATTAAATTTTCTGAATCATGATCTTCTTGCGTTAAAAAAAGGGGTAGTCCAAGTTAGGTCCAGTAAAGTAACAGTGAATGTGAAGCGGAACGCCGTGTCTTGTGTAAAAATATACTAGACTGTTGAATACGGAGTTTATCGTTTGTTTTATACACAGATACCTGATCACAGGTGTTGTTTTGTACATTATGTTTTTGGGGAGTTCTTCCAACAAATAATATGCATCAGCTGTGTTTGGAAATAAAATCAGTAAGTTTTATTTGGTCGTTAATTTTAGATCTAAAGGTTTTGGCAATCAATTTCTTGTGGACATGTTGATTTCATTTCATTCCCGGAAATAATATTTTATATTTCGTTATTAGTGTTTTCCTCCTTCATCGTGATTGGTTTCTGAAGATAAACGTGGCTTAACGATCGTCATTGTCTTTGAGTCACGGTATACCCAGGCCATATTGAATGTATGAACGTGTACACTACAATAATAGGAAACAAATTCAGTTCAATGCTATAAGTAATTTGGGTTGTTAGTGTTTCCTCCTTCATCGTGATTGGTTATTCAAGATAAACGTGGCTTAAGGACCGTTATTGTCCATGATGCACGGTATACCCTGGCTATACAACAATAGGAAGCGAATTCAGTTTAATGTTTTGTATATAATTTCAAACAATAAATAAAGCATGACTAGTCATGAATATACACTTTATCGTCATGTTGTCAGTTTTAAATATCCTCTCCAACCTGTCATCACCACGATTTACATGATTGGTAATACATCAGTAATATTATGACCGTGTAGTCTCGTTTTACAAGAATTGAGGAAACAACAGATCCCTCCCCCATCCCGCTTGACAGCAACAACCCCAATCGCAGAAATTGACATAATTATGTAGAGGGGTGCTGGGCCTCCGAAGGAGGGTAGGCAGGACAATTGTTTAGTTCAGTGGTACATGCTAGAATAGATTTGACGTATCTGAGCCATGACATACCATACATTGATATTTGGTTGAGGGATTATCATTAAGTCTTGAAGATCTGAACATGGACATAGTTAGCAATAACCAGGGCCGCAACTAGCTCAGAGAAACGAGTGGGGCGGGAAGTGTTCTTAGGGGTGCTGTGAAGTTGACGGACAATATATATCTATTGTTTTTATGGTCGACAATTTTTGTCACAGGGCGGGGGGGGGGGCGAAACTTTGAAGCCCCCGCCCCCTGCGCCCCTCCCACCTAGTTATTGGCCTGGCAACAACCGAGAACTAAATGAAATGGACAAGGCACATAGCCACCCACACACCTCTCTACACTGGTAGGAAATGTCATCGAATTCGAACGTTATCAACCATTTCCGATATGAGGTAAGGGTTTGCCTACCCACCCTGTACGCCTCTGTAAATATGTTTGTATGTTTAGATATCGGCTAAAATCGATAGTAACACGTGTTTAAATATTTATATCCTCAACAGTCGAATATCCTAGCTAATGATTGGTTAGCATATTCAATTACCAGGAAATATAGATGAATTATATATCTTTCCCGATAATTGAATTATTGTCATTCTACAAACTTGAGAAATGTAAGGAATCCTATGAAAACTATATGGTTCATCAATCTCTGCTGGGGTTACTGCTATCTTTATGTTACGCGAAATATATTTGTTGTTATTATTTATTACAAATGTAACGTTCAATACATTGTAAAAGGGACAGGTTGGTTTAATTAAGTAATATACAAATGAAGGCGTAATATAAAAAGTAAAATAGGTAAAACATTAAAACAAAGTTCTTGTATATCAAAATTTCTCATTAAAACACGGTGTTAAAATTCTCTGTCGTGAGAAGAGAACGTGTTGCGTTATTCGATCGGTATTGAAAGAAAAATGATTACTCTTTCTTATAAATTTTATATCATCGCTGTCCATTTGTCAAGTAGAGTGAGAGAGAGAGGGGGGGATAAAATATCCACAAAAGTATTTGTTTATTTAACAAATAGAGAGAGGCGGGGGGAGATGGGATATATCGTCCACTTGACACAAACCAGGTCATTTCGGGACTAACACAGGATTCAATTTTATATCAATAATTCGCATGCGTGTAGGGGTCTTTAGCAGTTGGAGGAAACCGGAGGACATGGAGAAAACCCACAGACAACCCTACTCCTTGTACAACCGGGGACTGAAAACCACACTAACCACCACCCCCACCCCCCCACACACACACACACCCACCTCCACACACACATACACACACACACACACACACATTTGTCAAGTAAACTATACTAAACAGCAAAAAAAAAACGTCAGTACGATTTCAAAATCAGAGAGGCACTAGGCTTTAATGAAATCATTCTAGAAAACGACTTACTAAATGGATCAAAGCAACTTTTTGTGAACAGTATGTTGACACATTGTGATTGATTCAAAACGAGAATGTTAAGAGTATGTACACGGTCTATACATCCTTATCTGGTGTGTCCACCGCCAGTGTCAATAACAGCAACGCAGCGTCTGTACATGGAGTGAACCAGACGCATTGATGTACGCCATTGGCACCTGAAACCACACTCTCAGAAAAGCCTGGCGCAATCCATCGGCAGTGTGGTATTTTATTGACACAATCTATCCTTAAACTTAGATCCTCTTTACTGTTATGCTCACACTAAGTTGATTTAAGTACAATTCTACATATATGTGAATCTACCAACTTGCCAAAGACATTAATTAATGAAATATACTACCACCATTAATTTCAAGAGCAAAAATTCTAGCAATATTAATACATGCCGCCTCCTCTCCTTGGACCAAGATTTTGGAACACCACCCCAAACCATTATACTTGGACCTCCCCATGAGTCTCGTTCCATGACACATTGGTCAGAATAACGCTGGTCACGTCGACGCCATATTCTGGTCCTGCCATCTGCAGTTGATACGCAATACCGACTCTCATCTGTGAACAGAACATTTCTCCATTGCCTGTGTCGCCAGTTCTGGTGTTGGTGGGCAAACCGTAGACGTTCACGTCGATGGCGAGGGGTCCACGGTAAGGTCTACGGCAATGGATGATCTGCCTGGTGAGACGTCGGCGCACTGTATCGGTACTGATGGGTCTTCCGTGTGTTCCTACTGTCTGACGGGCTGTCTCAGATGCCTGTGTGAAGGGATTCTGCACGTGCTGTCGCACAACATTGCGGTCTTGTCGCCTTGTGGTAATCCTTGGTCTACCAGTCCAGGGTGATCATCCGTGGTGTTGGTGGCCCGAAAGCGTTGCTGAAGCCTGTAGATGGTCCGAACTTTGGCCTGGAAGTGATTGGTAACGGCTCGGGCAGTGTGGCCAGCATCGAGTCTTCCAAGCGCCTGGTTCCTCCGAGCTGTCGTGAGTCGTGGCATGCTGCTGACGTTGTAGTGTGTATGATTCAACCAGGAATGGGGGTGCATTTTATAGGACTGGTCCCGGTGAACAGCACGTACAGCATGAGTTACATGAAGATCATGGAGAACACATTACCATCACAGAAGTCAGGTTGCGTCTTTTGGAACATTTCCTGGGTTCAATTCTGTGTTTGGGAAGGAGTCTTATTGCTTAGTTTGAGATTTGATCACAACTATATACTATAAAAACATTTGGCAAATTTTATGCAATGCGTCTATTCAGAATAACATACCAACCTGACGTTTCTTTTGCTTCTTAGTATATATTATTAATGCAAGGAAATGAAATGTGGTTTAACGTCCTACTGTTCTGCCTCGACTCGGTTAATGAAGACCAGTAACGCCATATAGTGTGCTATGGGGGACATTTTGCCCGGCCATCGTCACCACGACTTACTCTATTTCGAATTCCAACTGTCAAGGTTCTTTTACGTGCACGCCAATGTAGGTAGACTATCGATGAACTTTCTGGGCCAACTAGGGACCTCCTGGTTAGCACCCCAACGTCTTATTCACTGAGCCATCGTAACTCCCAGTTGAGTTTATACGAAAGATGCCTCAGCAGTAAACAACCGTCTTTTTACGTCCATGCCATAAAACAATCCATTTTGCTGTTCGAGCTTGAATAACGAATAACAAGACAGGACGCGTTTTCTTTATTCGGGAGTCAAATAAAAACATTGACCATCTGTCAAGTAAACTAGGGTTTTGTTTTATTTAATAAGAAGGATGTCTCAGCCTAAAATAATAATTCTATTTGAATCCCGAATAACGAAACACGTTTTGTATCGTTATTCGTTTTTTCAGAATTTAAATCCCGAAAAAAGAAACGTGATCTGTCTCGTTATTCAAGCTTGAAAAGCAATATGGATTGTTTTATGCTAAAGAAGTGAAAAGAGTTTTTTTTAATGCTGAGACAAGACGAATAATGAAACACGATTTAACTTCCCCCTGCCCTTTTGGCACACTGGTTTGAATCCCGGTGCAGGGAGGTCAGGCACTGGACTCAAACAGGAATATCTAACCCTTCGAATGAGTTAAAAATATAACGTCGGACGAGTCATACAATTTTCGGTTACCTCCCTGATTTGAATACACGCGCATTTCCAGTACGCAAAAGATGCTGTTTGTATTTCCCACATGCGGATAAATAGCATGACGTAAATATGTGTGGGCTTGCGCCAGCAACCGGGTTTGAAAATATTTTTTAATGTTGTTTGCGTCTAGTGGCGGAAATTTTAAGGAATTTATTAAAGCAATAGATATGTTTTATTTATTGATTTATTCACAAGGCTGTCATGTTGCATATGATAATCAAATTTTATCAATATGGTGGATTAACTCTTCGGGAAACAGAATAAGAAAATAAAATTTATTTAAGTTATGAACATGTTTAATTTATTGATTTATTCGCATGGCTGTCATGTTGCATATCATAATCAAATTTTATACATATGGTTGATTAAGCTACCAGGAAAGAGAATAAAACAATAAAATTTCACGGCAAAAAGTATATAGAGTTAGTCAAGCCTTATATACCTTCCCAATTCACAATTATAATACGAACTGGACTTCAAATTATTACATGGCGTCACAATTTCTGGTCGGTTCCTGGCCCAGATACCACCTTTACGTTCGGGCGATTAAGTTAAACTAAAGGATCGCCGGGTTCCTGGTTACCTTCCAAATAGGTTATTAAAATAAAATAGTACTATCATTTCTCTCTGAATTGTCAGGGGCTATTTTAGGTGCACGTCACATTTTATCGTTCCAACGGAACAACTAGATACCTTTTCTGTACCACTGTATATCCTCACGATTTATTTTAATATATTGGCGCTGCTATGTCAATGAATATACTTGGATTTTACGCAAAGAAAACTCCTATCCGGTTTTCTGTTAACAAAACTGTAGCGAGTTTGGGGATTTTAAACAACGAATGAGAAAATTAAATGGGGTTTAACGTCCTACAGTTCTGCTCCTAAACTGGGCTAATGAAGACGGACAGAACTTGTCTTGTTATTCGAGACTGAAACAAAATTATTATGTTTTCTTATAAATTCCATATCATCGTTGTTCATTTGTCAAGTAAACGATCTTCTTAATTTAATGCAAGCAAATGAAATGGACTGTAACGCACTACAATGCTGCACCGACTGAGCTATTAAAGACGAGCATACGCCATACAGTGTGCT